AGAACTAAATGTGAGTAGTTAGTTAGCAGAGAGCACCCTTTAGCCTTATAGTCAGATAATGTACTCTGAAATGTATAATAGCTTGACAAATATGCAAAAAAAAAGGCCAAGTTTAGATTAGACAGCATCTAATATAGGTGTAAAGGAACTTGTGCACTATCTGTCAGTATTGTATAGGAATCAGAGTGTTTAAAATAGGTAATCTTCTAGTAAATTGCAAATATAGCAGCTAGTTAGAACCTGCTATGCAGACAGACTACTTAAATTAGACAACTAAAAGTTGTATAAATAGCTAGTTGTACACTCACCTTGTACAAGTTATGAACTATAATTAAAAATACAATAAAAGCAATAAACATTACTAATTATGGCCTTAGCAAAAGCAAAAAAAAAAAAAAAAAAGTATTTTGGTAAATTGGGGTTATTTGTAGTAAATATTCCAGAGAGGGTTGAAGAATAAGATTAAAAGAGCTAAAATTTGTGATGGTATAATTTTTTTGTATTTAATAAAAATAATTAAGTTTTTAATTTTGTTAAGAATAGTATTAAGAGTTGGTTTTGAGAAGCTATTTTTATTATAAAATATGTCTAGATATCAGATAATATCTTGAGATCTTCTAGAAGAAATAGTTTGGTTATTGACAGTAAAAATAGTTAAAAAAAAGGTAGATAATTTGGGTTTAATATGTAGAATATCTGATTTGAAAGAGTTTATTTTAATATTATTAAGTTTGTAAAGAGTAGATGTGTCATTAAGTATATTTTGCATTGTGAATGAGTCTTCACAATGCCAAGTAGTATCATCTATATAGGCTAATAGAGAAATAGTAATTGTTTAAGCAGAAGTATTAGAAATAATATCAAGAGATAACTGTGCAGATATTTTGAGGAATTGATTTTTATATTTTTGGTTAATGAAAAAAAAATAAGGTTATAGTAGATTTTTTAGAATAAGGATGAATAGGTTTTTCTTTGCTCTATTCCAGATTTAATTTGAACTGGTTGTGTAAGGCCATAACTAGTACTAATTCTAGCAAGTCGAAAGGTATATAATTCTGTAATAAAGTTTATACTAGGAGTTGAAATGCCAATTTGTTTGCAGACATCTTGTAGTCTTGTAATATTAATTTTATTAAAGGTTTTAAACATATCTTGAAATAATATCTAAGCTTTTTTGTTATTAGCTTTATAGTGTTTAATTGTATTATATAGAATTTAAATTGGAGTATAGGTAGAGAAATTTTTAGAGACTGCAAAGTTAAAATTAGAAAGAAGATTATTGAAAGTAATAATCTTGTTTAGTCTGAATATAAAAATTTTTATAAAAGTTTTCTTAAAGAGTTCAATGATGGATATAAGTTGTACTTGAATAAGAGTGTAGTCCCAGTTTGATTTTTTTGAAATAAGGAAAATATTGGAAGATTTTCATTCTATAGGAACTTTTTGAAGTTGAAAACATTTGTTTAAAAAGAGTCTAAAAAAGATTTGTGCTTTGAAGCTTGCATATTTAATATGTTCATATCAGATTTCAGAGAGGTTAGCAGCTTTTTGATTTGAATAATTAGAAATAATTTCTTGCTATTCTTGTTGTGTGATTTCTTGAGTAAGATTTTATAATGAGTTTTGAGTTCAGAATGTGGTTTATACAGATCTGAATATTCACTAGTTGGTGAAATAGTTTTTAGAGGTTTGGATTCAAAGTAAGTAGTGAAATGTGTATAAATTGCATTGAGTATTTTATCATGTTTAGTTAAGAGTGAATTATTCAGTTTTTTTTTTTTTGGGTATTAAGGTGACCTCTTTGATCTTTTGATTTTATTAATATATTTTTAGAAATGTAGTTCCATAAGGAGTTACTACTAGAAGAGCATACAATTGGCCACTTGTATAATTTTCTATATTATCTATTTAAGGAGTTTACTTAATATTCTTCACTAATTGCTATACCTAACACTTTTGCTTGGGTGTTCTATTTAAACTTGCTAAACCTGTTTCATGTTACTTCATCAAGTTAAGTCTGGAACCTTCATCTTAACCTTGGAATATTTTTATCCTCAAGATAAATCTACCAAAATCTGCTGTTTATCTATTTTTGTAGTTGATCCAGATATCACTATGGCAGAACTAATATTTGCAGTCAGAGCTAATCATTAAACTGCTATGCTCTTGTAGGTTCACTCAGATTCTAGTACCTACTTTACAATATATCTCTAGTGCTTTAGTATACCTCTGCTTCTTTTATCAAAGTTTCAATTCAGATAGCCTATATAGAACTACAACCAGTCCATCAGTATATCAGATTAGCCCAATATTTTTTTTTTTAGTCTGATCTAGTAGCCTAATTAGTGGTACCTTTGAGACTTCCAACTTAGAAGTTCTTGCTCATTAAGCTACTTTAGCATTAGTATTCATTTCTTAGATCTAGCCTTTATAGTAGTATTGTCAAAGATCTATGTTATCTCTTTACTTAAGTCTTTTCAAATAGTCTTCTTGTTTATTAATTTTTATGGATTTATACAGCTACAAGAACTTATCTTAAGATTGTACTGCCTAATTTGTCAGTTTGCATTCCTCTGTATAACAAGTTATACTAATGCTCTATGACCTGCCAGTCATGCTAATGTGACTATAATTATAGATATCTTAATCTAATCATTAAAAACAATTGCTATAATACCAAATTACATAAGTGATTATTCAAATTTTTGCTGTCAATAGAATTTGAACACCCAACCTATTATTTAAAGGATTGACAACCTGACTACTTCACTAGATTACTATACTCTAAGAGTAAGTTATTTGTTAATAGTCTGTAAATGTGTATATTGTTATATTTTTCAAGAATCTTTTTGTAGAAAAGTTCAAAAGTTTCAGAAAAAAGTTTGTTTTAATTCTTAATTTTTTGTTTAATTTTATTATAAGTAATTTGATTTTGATAATAATTAAGAGCAATTTTGGTAAAATAAAGTTTATTTTTAATATAAGAAAGAGTTGGTAATAGGTTTTGAATTATATTATCAGAATATTTAGACATGTAGTTTTGAAATAATATATTAAAATTAGATGAATTAGTATAATTTTTGAGAAAAAGGATTTTTTTATAATAATAATAGAGTTGAGAATGTTTGAAAAGGTTAGTTTTTTTAATACTTTTGATAGTATTTACTTTTTTAAATAGAATATGTTTAGAGGCAGCTTTAATTAGGCCTTTGTGAACTTGGTTTCAGATCTTGTTAAGTTGGTTTTGATTAGAAATTGTGGAAAGTTTAATAAGCAATTATTGAAGGTTTTGTGTTGTTTAAGTAGCATAATTCTTAAAAGAAGTTTTAGGACAATTTTTCCAAAGAAAAATCTTTCTTTTTCATTATTTGTAAGGTTTTGGTTTATTAATTATAATAGAAATTTCTAAGGTAATAAGATTATGATCAGATTCTATTGAGTAATTTTAAAGTATATTAGTATATTCAATATTTGTAATTGACAGATTGGTTCAGATTTGATTAATTCTATTTTGTAATTAGTGTTATTAAAAAAGAATAGTCAATAAATGTCTTTATATTAAAAGCTAGAGAGGAATTTAATAAGTTAATGTTCTAAGATAGATAATTTTTTTGATAAAAATCTGTTTATATGAGAATTAAGAACTCTATTGAAGTTAATCATAATTATAATTTTGTAAAATGAGTTTTAAATTAGTAATATTGCATGTTTGAAGATTTCATTTCACAATCATTTTTTTTCTTAAGTTGGAATATAGATTTGAAAAATTTTAATAGAAGTGTTTTTGAAATATAAGTTAAGGCCAACAATATAATCTTTGTAGTTATAAGAGCATGCAATATATTTGGATATGTTTTTGCGAATAAGAATTCTTATTCCAACTTGATATAATTCTTGAAAAAAACTCTAAAAGCTGAAGTAGTTAGGGTTTTGTGTTTTAAAGTATTTAGTTTCTTGAGTAAAGAGATGTGTTTCTGAAAAGTCTAGAATGTCAAAAGCTTAAACATTAAGTATTTCAGTAAGTGCCAGTTTTTTGTTTGATTGTAATAAACTGTTAATGTTTAAGGAACCTATTGTAATAGTAAAAGAGATATGTTTAATTGTAGAATTAAGTAAGTTAGAGTTGTTGTTAGTTTTTTTAGTTATTGGTATTGGAGTTGGTATTGAATTTGTATATAACTTAAATAGTATATTATATGTATTCTATAATAAAAAAAATATGTAATTTGGCAGAAGTTTTGTATTTTGTAGTAAGTAGATATATGCTTCTTTTTTATTTTTAGTTAGTAAGAGTATGGTATATTTTTTTAAGTGTGAGACATAATTGTCAAGATGAAAATAGAAGGATTGTATAGTTTAAGATTCTTTTAAAAGAAGAAGATTGTAGTATAATAGGTATTTGTTGTAACAAATGTTTAAATTATAAAAATCTAAAGATGTTAATAATGATTTGACAAGGTTTCCTACTGTAGAGTTACTCAAGAATTCTACAGAAAAAGTTATTAAAAAGGATTATAAAAAGTTGTGAATAGTAAATGAATAGATTTTTTATTTGAAGTAGAGTTAGTATTTATATTAGGTTAATTAGTATTGATAGTTTCCTGATTTGTATTAGAGTTAGATATTATAATATCATTGTTAGAATTTGTTGAAAAGTTAGATATTGTTTTATTAGTTTCTATAAGTTGTGTTATAAGAGGTAATTTTGATGTATTTTCTACAATAGTTTTGTTAGATTTAGGTTTAAAAAAATTTGTATTAATTTTAGAAACCTTGAACTGAATTTTGAATTTGAAGAATAATGTTTTTTCTGTTTTTGGATAAAATTATTTTTTATAAGCTTTTTTGATATAAGACATAGATAATTTGTTAAGAAATTTGAGTATATAGAAATAGTATTACTTAAAGTGTATAACCTGACTGTGAGGGTATAAACACAGCTGTTTGAACCTATTACTATGACCCAATTGCATAATTACAAAAAAATAATTAAGAAATATATGCATAAACATTCTAGTTGTAGTGTAAACACATCTATAGATATGTAAACATCACCTTTAGAATATAATTGCTTCTAAGATTAAAAATGTATTTAAAGACTTATAATTCAAAGCAGTAGAAATTAAAATTTTTTGGTTCTATTTTATAATTAAATAAAGAATATCATTTTATCTTTAAAGAATTGTTGCATTTTTTTTTGAATAAAGTATATACTTATCTGAACATTCCCTAATGTATTGTCTTTTGAATTTATTCAAAACTCAATTTAACAAACTGAATTGACTTGTAACTTCAATTTGGTTTATTAAGATTTGGATTCTAAAATGTTTGTAAAATTAGACATTGCCATTCACCTTAGTAACTTGCAAGAATTGTAGTAGAGAATGAGACTTACGATTAGTTACTAAACTCTGTAATCCATCATGTGTTTTTAAAGTTACTGTTGACTATTATCCATTATATCTTATCATCCTTATTGAGTATCCCTAACAACATTACCTATAGTTGCATTATTTTATTATCACCTCTATGAATATTAAAGTTTTTGTTTCAATAGACTTTCAACAATTATAAAAGACTCACTTCATTCTCCAAGTTTATCTTTATCTTTCTATACATCATTGGAGTTAAATTGATCTTTCTTCATATAATTTCATTAAGCTCTCTCAACAATAGTTACAATATATTGTTTTTAGCAAACAAATTAGAATTGTTAGGCTCTAATGATTTGTTTAATCTTGATATAATTCTGATGAGCAAATTACAAAATACTGTACCAATACAACATTTTGTACAATTTTGATTGACAAAGAAATTACCTTACTTATTTGTAGTAAAACTATTATATTTTTATAATTACAATAGATAGTTACTATATTTTTTTTATGCTACTACATTTCACATTCACTAGCCAAACATTATCTTATTTTTTTAAATTATCTTGTAGCTATTACTTTATAACTTGTAATTGTGATTGAAATTACTTTCAGACTATAATACAAGAAATTGATTGAAAAGAAATAATAATTGCTATTGTAAATATGAAAAGACTATTTATAGTAAATTTTCAATAGCATATTAAGGTCAATATAAATATAATAATTAAATAAATTTTAATAAATCTCTATATAATTTGTATTTAATCTTTAAAAAAAAATAAATAAATAAGAATTTTTTTTATAATAATTTATTATTGATTGATAAAATTAGAACCACAAAATTTGAAAGCAATGTTTTAACATAAATACTACTATACTATATTATAATTAAATAAAATAAATATTTATTGATATAACTATACAATACTCTAAATAATTTTTATAGTGAACTAATATTATTATATATATCTTGAATGCTAATAATATATGCATGCTAATTGCTTATTAATTGTTATACAAACAAGATCTAAAACATTTAAAAGAACTTCTATAGATTCTGCCTACATTTTATTTTGTCATAAATAATTTTTATATAAAAAAATATTTGCTCGATCTATAATAAATACATATACTAAAATAAATTTATTAAAGTATTATAATATGTATAAATATTTAAATTACTTACTGAATTAAAGTCAGAAGAATATGTAGGTAAAAATTCTAATTAAACTCCTTTTTCTTTACAAAGAACTTGCAAATATTGACTTTTATGTATAGATGTATGATCTAAAACTAATATACTATATTGTTTAGAAAACAAATTTATTTTTAGTAACTGTATACATATAAATTTATTAATTTAATTGATATGTACTACATATCATTATATATTATATAGTATATATAGTTAAAAACTAAAAATCTTATATACTAAAACATATTCAATAAAATTTTTGTAATCATTCAAGTTTATAGATTCTTTTTAAATACAATATGCTAAAAGACCATTAATGCATAATGCATCTTCTATAGTAAATTGTCTTTTTTAAATAAAATATATATATTTTTGAGTATGTAATCCTGAAAAATTCCAACTATAATGACATGACAATGTTCTTCTATTATAAGCATTTTCATCTGAAAAACCAATTAACTTGATGTATACTGAGATATTTATAAAATAAAATTATTTCTATCAACTTTATTTCTTTCTTTTGTAAGTTTTGAAATCTATATAATTAAAAATTTAATAAAGTTATAAAATAAAAAATATAAATATATAACATATTACTTTTTTATGTATATATCCAAGTCAGTGTATAACCCTCTAAATTGTCATAAGGCTAATGTTATGTTCTAACCAAAGTTCTATTTCAGATTATAATTTATACAAGTACCAGTCAAGTTTTTCTTTCATCAAGGTTTTAAGATATTTTATATTATTCATGTTTAATGAACATGGTTTTCCTAAAAATGATGGAAGTTTTTCAACACATCCATATTTTTGAAAATGGTTGAGAACTTGACTAATAAAAGACTTGCTAACACCCAAGTGTTTGGCAATTTTTCGAACTGATAAGCCTTCTAAATTTTTTCAACTATTTGCCAGCGAAGATGTCTTGAAAGTATCATATTTCTGTATTAAACCAAAGATATGAATATCAATATATAGTCTAATATTATTTGTCTTAGTCACCTGATCTTAAATTACGTATATGTATATCTAATATATCAATTTATTGATTTATTATTTCTGAATCACATACTTAACCGAATCAACCAAAAAATCATTCAGTCCATTTTCACAGGTGTCCCAGGATTATGATAATAACCGTAGCCGATTTCATCCCTAGGCTTCACACTATGTAACTCACATGGTTTCTTAGTCAAAATTTAAGCAAGTTATAGAAAATTATGTGAACATGATTGAATTTGATGATGTGTTTAATTATATTGAAGATAAAACACTTAATAATAATTATATTTTTGATACTGAGGATTTAGATAATCTTTTACAATTCGATAGTGAAAATTTGGATATCAAAGAAATGTTGGATTTTAAGGCATTTTTAAATAAAAAAACTGAATAAAACAACTAATAATCTGAAACTTGAAGATGATAAACATAATTATAATTTCAATTAAGTTATCAATGCATTTAAAAAAGTATAAATGTTTTAGTTTGAACATTAAACATTATTTAACATATATTTCTTATTACGATATAACATATATTTTATATTTGTATATTCATTTATTATATGGTATATGACATTATCTTAAAAATTTCAATGAAATTTTAACTTTCAATTATAAAAAAAATACAAATTCATTGCTGAAATTTTAACATTTTGAGTTCGTTATATCCAGAATTCATTATAGAAAGGATCGTTATATCTAGGGTCGACTATAATAGATTTTAGACATCCAAAAATATTTTAGAGATCCAGAAATATTTTAGAGGGATAAAATAATTTTTGCAGCCTAAATTATTTACGATTTAGGCTGTCTAAAATAATTTAGCCATTTAAATTTACAAGAGGAAAATAATCTAGACACCCCATGTATAATGACAATCACTAAATCATAACGATAAGAAGACGCTTAACTGGAATTTGGTTATAGTATTGAGTATATATATGAGTTTCAAAATAATAATAATAATAATATAAACTTAAGTGACTAACGTGAAGTAAGTGTTGCATCTAAAGTAGCTATTTATCTAAAGTAGCGCCTGGCTAAAATTAATTAGATCATTAAGTTATAATTTTAACCAGAGCACTACTTTAGATATATAAAGTAGCTACTTTAGATAAATCGCTACTTTAGATGCAACAGTAGCAGCGGTATTAAGGTTGTCTGCCGAAAATACCTAAACCGAAATGTATTTCGGATATGCTAAAGTTGGCAATATGAAATTCATTAAATAAAAAATTAAATAAAATTACGTATTTAAAAGTTAATAAAATATTCAGATCACTATATCAAAATCACGGATATTTCTATTTATATATAAATGAACTACGTTTGCTTAACAAATCGAGTTTTTTTGTAACTCAGGAGAAATCTAATGTATAAAATTCTCACGAAGCCACTTCAGGGTCACGAGATATCCATCTAAATACAATAAGACAAGAATGGACATTATTATTAAAATACCCTCATGATTCAATTTGAATCTTCTCGTCGAAGTTTCAAATAGCACAAAAACCGCTCACAGAATCACGAGATGTCTTAATTCATTATCAGGTTTCAGGCTGTAGCTCGACTATAGATCTATATTGACCCCATTAGGTTTTTTTCGTAAAATACGAATAAATTGGATCTAATTATGTACTTTAATTTGAATAAACTTTTAGGACAGTGAAAACATGTTCACCCTCTCATCATTTTGAGCGCTTTAATTGCACTTCAAATCACGAGAGGAAATTTAAGTCACATTCATACTAATCATAATTTATGTATTTTAATTAATAATTAATCTAATTTTCTTTTATTCTTAAAATAAATTGGTCTTAATTATAAAAAATAAAATAATATGTAAAAGAAAGTTTTATTCTAAATGCTAATTTTATCAATACTTAAAACTACATACAACACTTCGTAAATGGAACAAAATAACTATTCGTTAAATAATGGAACGGTTTCATCTGGTTCAGTCACATACCTAAAACAATTGGTTATTAACAAGACAATAAATAAACTAATAAAGAAATAATAAATACTAAAAATATATATTAAGCTGTTTAAACTCACCTTAACCTTGATTTTCCTTTGCCTTTTCCTTTTTCACTATTCCATCTTTCAGCCCCATACAATGCAAGTGCACCAGCTGGACTTGTTACTACTCCGAATCCCAAGAATTTCCAAAATGCTGGTGTGAACTTTGCACCTTCAACTAAGTAAACCCAATAAGTCATACTTATTGCTAACCCTACGGTGTCGACTAACATGAAATCAGTTGCTGCAGCTAATTCTTGATTTCTTAATTGTTCTAAAAGAGTGCTTAGGTACGCAGAGTTGTGATCTATGCCTTTAATTCCAATAATTAATATTTAGATTATCGTATGAAATAAATTTAAAAGTTATGAAATTTATGGTTAGCATTTAATTAGAACTGAAGTTTAACAGTAATATCTTAATAATAAATAATAGAGAATCACCAACGAAAATTTATTATAACGAGAGTGATTTATACCGAATAATAAAAATAAATATACTTACAATATGCAAGGAAAGATACCCACGAATATAAACAGATACCGAACATAATAAGGTAATAATTCGATGCTCGCTTATATCCTTCGTTAGTTGACACCGAATTTTTGATTGCTCCTTTAGGTGTCCAAGACCAGAACATATAAGCAAGCACTGGTGAAATCTAATAATAAAATAATATTGAATATATTAAATGTTTATAAATGTCAATATACATAAAATACATTTTGAATTATAAGAATCAAAATGATTAATCAATTTTAACCATTTTTTTTATAAATTTACCTGAAAGAAGACAATACTCCAGAATTGATAGCTCGGATCCGTAACCAAAGACATAATGACCAAACTAGAAAAGACCACACAAATGATGCCCAAAAATATTCTGGTTACTCGATCAGGATTCAATGGAAGTACAGCATCAGCAGCCGCTGCTGGAGGTGCTTCGATATCTTCTTCTATAACAACTATTACATTAGATTCTTCTTTTTTAATCTCTTCTATAACCCATGCAGCAATCCTTATATAATTAATGTAATAAAATTTATTAATCCAGTTAAATAAAACGTAATATTTATAAAATAATCATCCTACCAGTAAGGAACAGCAGTAGCAATTCCTAAAATTTGCATCGAGATTGCAACAAATAAAAAACTTGTGAAACGACCATTCACACCAGGAATCGAGCTCTCCAAAGCTATAGTAAACAAGGTTATAAGTACCATTGGTGTTATCAGGTTGCCGATAATTAGACCAACTGGGTCAGTGAGAAAATCACTAAATTACACTTATTGGTTAATAATTTTACATAATTTTCCGAAAAAAAGATGGCATTCTTCAAGAAAACTTACTAGAAAAATGGTACAATTAAATTTAAAACATTATCAACACCCAAAAGTCCGGTATATTTTTCCTTTGGATCAAAAAAGAAAGTGATAAAAGTATTCATATTTGCTATTTGATATAATAAAATCAACGAGCCAAATACTATCGGAATAGCTGCATGTATTTTTAAGTATTTTGGTTCCATGGTTGTATGTTATTGAAAGAGTCCTTTTGTTGAGGTAATTTTTAAAGAAAAGCCTTTAAATATTACTCCGATAATTAGTTAAATACCAATTCGGATGAAACAGGATTGAGCGATAGACAAGCTTAATACGGAAATGATCTGATTGAATCGTGTTTGTATATAAATTGTTACAATACTATAAATATAACCGTTAGTGCCGGGCCGACTGGGTCCCAATTAATATATATTTTTATCATCTAGGATTGGGTGACAGCAACATGGTTTTATTCATTTGTACTAGTAATACAAATTTAGTAATACAAATTTATATAACGATAAACCAAAAACCAAAAATTGAAAAGAAGAAAACTATTGTAAACTGCTGACCTTATACCCCCCTGACAAATTGGGAGTATAAAATTGACTTTATAATAATATCTATTATCTTCCAGCCAAAATACCATTTCCGTTGTAAATATTCTATCAGCTGTTTAGGTAATGCTTCTATGACGAAAAAAATGTCCATTACGACGTAGGTACGTAACACAGATCAACTGATCGGATGTAACGTGAAATCACACTTTCCAATGTTTTGAACTTTTCCTAGTTTTAACAAAAAAGAAAACAGATTCTTGCATATTTTAGTATAGATCTATATTATAGCCCTAAAGGTAGACTTTATTGATATCACGTTTGGTAACCTAATTGGTTTTTTTCTCCGTGGTTGGTTAGAACATTAAATTTTACGTATTCGGACTTTGCCCCTTAATGATTATCCTTTTTTGGAAGCTTTTGTATTACTTTCCTATTTTAACTATGTTATTTGAGACCCACATTATTTGAGATAAATCACGCCCTACAAAAAATTGGTCACCCCTGTAATTTGACCAATCGAATTTTAAGATCAGGTGTTTTTATTAGGAAACCATCTTCTGCGGTTTAATTAAAAACGTTTCTCGCGAAATTATACTTATAGCCGTCGCATTGTTCTAATAATAACCCTAATTATAACGCGATTTTTTAGATTTAGAAAACGAAACAAGTTACTATCACGTCACACCTGATCTTAAATTTTGATTGGCCAAAATTACAGGGGTGGAAAATTTTTTGTGGCAGCAATCCTGTGATGATCTTCCAAAAAAATTTTCCCAAATCATGATTAGATTCCCTTTGACAAAGTCTGCCTCATCTATGGTGCTCGCAAAGATCCGCTCCGTTTATTATTTTCGTCAAACAAGGCTTTTCAAAATTTTTAGTCCTGAACAGGAAACTGAAAGATTTGTGCTACTTAGAAAGGTTCTTTTTTATTTTGCTACCTTATATATGAAAATTGATAATTAGTTTCTTTAGTCATTTCGTTTACAGATTTGCACTCCTCTTTATGAATTTAATAAATGTCCGGGATTGACCGAACTGCTTGAATCTGTGAGCGTTTGGATGTCTGTTTGAGTTTTTGGCATGGGATTATAGTATGATTCGCAGGTCTTTTATGTGAGGGTCCTTAAAGCGGGACAGATTCACATATTGATATACATACTGTATAAATCGTATTCATGATATTTATATATAAATATTACACTAACTGCATCAAAAAAGTAACCATAACCTTAAGGATTCCGGTGTTTAAACTGAGTTAAATCACGTGACTATTGCCCAATCAAATTATAGAATTTTGATGATCCCCGGCGAAGCAAAACAAGGAATCAAAGAGAAAAACTTGAAAAATACACAAACGGCAGTCTAAATCTATCTTGAGTAGGTTAATTAAAATGTTGGTAAGGCACTTTTGCATATATGTCATAAGCGGAACGAGATGAAATGGATTGGGAATTTTAGGGTTTAGGGTGTGGGTTTATATAAAATAAATTCCATCCTGAAATACTAATTTAACTAAGAAATTTCAAATCTATAAACAATTTGTATAATGATAGACATCTATAAACATATTATACAAATAAATTGCTAATAAGCTCATAACGACTTGATTTAAAGCATCAAATAAAAAGGATTAAAACACAAATTGCATAGACATCCAAAAAAAATTTATGGATAGTAACCTGACAACACTAGTTTCTTAGCCTACATTCTGATGAGCCTGCATTACTGTTGTTAGGCGAAACTATTTTTGGTAAATGGCGAAAGTTGAAACTGGCGAAATGTCGAAATTCTGGCGTAACGTTGAAATCCTGGTAAAGCTAAACACAACGAAGATCAAATCCTATATGACTTTAGAAAAACTGAACCATGTTGTTAAATCAAAATATTTTGTGTGTGACTATTAAGCACAGCATGCGGCTTATATAAAAATGTACAAAAGCAATAAACAAAACGATAGCCTTTCGTTTGTATTTGAGTACTATTAAAAGAAAAACTATACTTCAGGCTTTTGAAGTTATAATAAATCAATTCAACTTTGAAAACTCAGAGTCTGAAATATGTTTTCTTTTAGTAGCGTTTATCTTTGTATTAATATTATTTGTACAGTGCGGGACAGCATAAACCCATATAAGACATTCAAATTATAAGAACTTTGGTAAGGGTTTAGGATTCGATGTAAATTTCAATTTGGTTTCAATTTCGTTAAAGCCGTTAAAAATTTTACGTCACATGTATAGAATAACTAATCCTAATCTCGATGATTCGATTATTATACATTTGGTGATTCGCCAGGAACCTAATTACACTAATGTTGAAATTTGATTTTTTTTTTTTTAGGTCGGTAACACTTAGGACGTACAAAATTTGAACACATGAAATAATCTTAGTATATATTTATTATTATTTATAAAAATTAACAAAATTAACAAAAATACGACCGCTATAATTACATAAAACTAATTGTGTTATATATCTCACTGAAGTTTCATGGTCAGATTAAAATCTATATTCAAATTATTTATTATGTTTTTCTATATTATTATGCTGTTTTAGACGTGAATTCATCTTTCCGACTTTCTTGTTCATATCCTCCTCACTGGTTTAAGGTTCGTATTCATGAATATGTACTTCATCTTTTCGGATTCGTGTTCCTTAGTTTGTTTATAGTCAAACTCTTAACATTTGCAAACATGTTCGCTTTCTTTTTCAGATTCATGCTGAAAATTGTTTTCTTGTTCTGACTCATGTTTCCGGTTATGTTTATAGTCAAACCCTTCTTTATAGCCGTCTCCAAATTCATCTTCGTGTCCTTGCTCTAGTTTATTTTCTTTGCTAGATTCATTCTCTTCTTCATACCCATTATTAAATTCTTTTCCATGTTCATTAATGCGTTCGCTTTCTTTCTCAGACTCATATTTATTACCGTGCTCTTTTTCTGATTTATGCTCCCGGTTAACGTCATCTCCAAATTCATGTTCCAAGTCGCCATTATGGCCCCAATAGTTATTATGGCTTAATCCTTTTCCACTTTTAAATTTATGTTTTCTGTTAAATCCAGTTTCAAAGTTGTTATCCCAATCATGTTTTCGGTTAAATTCGTTTCCATTTTCAAGATTGTGTTCCCAATCGTGATTTCGACTAAATTCGTTTCCACTTTCAAGATTATGTTCCCAATCGTGATTTCGACTAAATTCGCTTCCACTTTCAAGATTATGTTCCCAATCGTGATTTCGACTAAATTCGCTTCCACTTTCAAGATTGTGTTCCCAATCGTCATTTTGACTAAATTCTTTTCCACTTTCAAGGTCGTGATCCAAATCGTGATTTCGATTAAATTCGTTTTCACTTTCAAGATTATGATCCCAATCGTGGTTTCGATTAAATTCGTTTCCACTTCCAAGCCTGTGTTCCCGGTGGTTTCGATTAAATTCGTTTCCACTTTCAAGATCGTGGTCCCAATCGTGATTTCTATTAAATTCGTTTTCACTTTCAAGATCGTGGTCCCAATCGTGATTTCGATTAAATTCGTTTTCACTTTCAATATTGTGTTCCCAATCATGATTTCGATTAAATTTGTTTTCATTTCTAAGATCGTGATCCCAATCGTGATTTCGATTAAATTCGTTTTCACTTCCAAGCCTGTGTTCCCAATTGTGGTTTCGACTAAATTCGGATTCACTTTCAAGATCGTGATCCCAATCGTGATTTCGATTAAACCCGATTCCACTTTCAAGATTGTGATCCCAATCGTGATTTCGATTAAATTCGTTTTCACTTCCAAGCTTGTGTTCCCAATCGTGGTTTCGATTAAATTCGGTTCCACTTTCAAGATCGTGGTCCCGATCGTGATTTCGATTAAACTCGTTTCCGCTTTCAAGATCGTTATCCCAATCGTCATTTTGACTAAATTCGGTTCCACTTTCAAGGTCGTGATCCCAATCGTGATTTCGATTAAATTCGTTTCCACTTTCAAGGTCGTGATCCCAATCGTGATTTCGATTAAATTCGTTTCCACTTTCAAGTTTGTGATCCCAATCGTGATTTCGATTAAATTCGTATCCACTTTCAAGTTTGTGA